AATTTTTTAAAACCGTAAGTCCTAATCCTAACTATAGATTCCGCTGCGTTAGGATTTATTACTCAATAGATTTGAATGTGCACATTGTCGACGTTCCTAATAGAACCCAACATACGGGACGGTTCGGTTCGGTTCTCGGTACGGATATTTGTGAAATCTCCAAAACAGTACCAATTATTTTTTCGGTTCGGTTCGGTTCGGAGAAAGTCAAACGGTCAATGATTATTTTTTGATTCGGGGTGATTTCGGTTCGGTTTTCAGAACGGTTCGGAATTTTTCGAGTCCCATGCTCAGCCCTACTAACAACTAAACATAACTTTTTTTTCAAAATTAAAGTCAATTAATTTCTAAATGAATTTATAAAAATCACCCCCTTACATTGGCTTCAGTCAAACTCAGGAACTTGTCCAATGTGGTAATAGTGCTTTATAGCACTTTACCAAAAGAAAAAAATGAAATCTAGCCACTTTTTTTAAAAAAATGAAATATAGCCATTTTGGTACATGAAAATACTAATTTACCCTCAGTTCAAATTTTCACCTCACAATTTTTTAATTTTCTTACATTTCACATATCAATTTATTTTCCCCAATTTATTTACATTGTCGTCTCCAGCGGAAATAGAGAAGAAGAAAAAAAAAAGTTCCAGGGAAAAAAATTCCCGTCTGTAGAAATCGACCCTGCTCTAGCTCTGACTGAAAGAAGATAAGATTCAACAGTTGTGGATAGATTTGGGATTATCAGGGAGATGTCAGTTGTTCGGGATCTGGGCTTCAAGTTAGAGGCGGCATCGGCGGCTTGACGTGACCCGCCTGCACGCTGAACCACCAGATAAATACGGTGGCGGATCTGGGTCGGAGGGTTTGGGCGTCCCGAGGATTCGCAGTCAAGTAGCGGGGTTTGACTTCAAGAGCTTCGTCTCTGGTGCGAGGGTATGCGGCCGGAGCGACGAGAGAGTGCATCTGGAGCAGGCGTTTGGGTTTGGGTCTGGCCGGGACGGGCCTCAAAGCTGCGGTTCGTGTTGAAGAATGGGCTGTCTAGGTGCCTGAGAAGCTGCTCGGGCTCTACGATCCATCCTTTGACAAGGATTCGTGGGGGGTTGGGTCGTGGTGGAGCTTTTCGATGAAAGCAGTCGTAAAACGGTACTTTCCTGTGAATTTTGTGCTTGTGTATGTGTATGTTCCAGTTGATGATGCTTAAAGTTTTGTCTTCAGAATTATAATTTGGTGAAGGTCAGATTCAAGAACATCAGGATTATTAGCAAGAAATAATGTACCTGAATGGTTCAAAACTGTATGTTAATGGTGTTGTTATTTTGATTGTTTTTTCACATATGAGTTGCAGTATGGAATGATGTCTTATAAGCAGATAAGAGAGAAAAAGAGGTTGGGAATATGATACATGTGAGACATGGAATCTTAGACAAGGCCAAAAGGCCATCAGATCCATATTCTGTTCCAATATGCTTATTTGTGTCTTGATTAGCAAATCACATTTCCATTCTCTAGTAGAAGCACCATCCAAAATTATATTCTTGTCGTTGTAGGAAATGTAATGTGGCACTAGGTACAAGAATTGATCCACCTTAGTCTATGTTTTTCTTAAACTTCAGTCTCTTTTAGTCATCTTTTCTCGATTGTTTTAGTATTTTGGCTTGAAAATATGAATATTTTAGAAGAATCGGATGCACGAGGGTTATTGGTGTTGGATCAGTGCGAGTCGACTCAGCCCAATGGCAATTCCAAGGGTTTGGTTGAGCTTGCTCGTGCGACATTGTGGTGTGAAAGGTGTGTGACCTGGTAATGTATCACGATTTCCTTTTTATTTTTCTGGTTTTTCATGATATGCAGTGTCTATTTCCGTTTTCTGGTTTCTGGTTTTTCACATTTTAAGTGTGATTAGAGTTATTTAATTGCTGGAAAATTGCTTCGATAGCTGCTGCTTTTGTCCGGGCCTAAAGCGACTGCTTCCGGGCTTTGTTGTTGCTGTTTGGACCTTGCTAGAGTGCTGCCTGGGACTGATTGGGGTCAGCCCGAGACTAATCGGGAGCTGTTTGGGCTTTGTGGGGATGCGCGCTAACTCCGAAGAGTGTCGCCGCTTCAAACGGGGCTTCGACGGACGGATACCCAACAATCTTTTTCCTAAATAAATGTGAGGGGATCCCATGAGAGATTGAGAAAACTTCACAATATAAATTTGTCCTCTATTGTTATTAAAGGTAATAAGCCTTATTTAGTTCTGTGTTTTTTTTCTTTCCACTAGTTATGGAAGGGGTGTGATTATGCTGTATACATTATTTTTTCATGTAGGATTAGTTATCACCTACCAGGTTCTGGGTAGGTTAAGATGAAGTTATGTAACCATTTAACTTTTTTTTTTTGGTTTCTCTTCTTGTGGATAGTTTGTGAGAAAGTGGAAAGAAACATGTTTCTTGTTCACGAAACAGGTTTCTTGTTTAAAAGTAATAGGTTTCTTGAGCAACAAACTAGTTTCTTGGAAAGAAACATGTTTCTTGCTCAAGAAACGGGTTTCTTACCAAGAAACAGGATTCTTGGGCAAGAAACTGGTTTCTTGAGCAACAATATTTTCTTCAACTTTTTTAGTACAAATATTTTCTTCAACTTTTTTTTTCTTCAGATGTGTTTGGACAAAAATATATGAATACAAGATACATTTTCTTGTTCAAAAGAAATAGGTTTCTTGAGCAACAAACGGGTTTCTTGTAAAAAAACATGTTTCTTGCTCACAAAACGGGTTTCTTGAGCAAGAAACGGGTTTCTTGTTTAAAAGAAAGAAGTTTCTTGAGCAACAAACTAGTTTCTTGGAAAGAAACATGTTTCTTGCTCAAGAAACGGGTTTCTTACCAAGAAACAGGTTTCTTGAGCAAGAAACTGGTTTCTTGAGCAAAAAACGGGTTTCTTGTCAAGAAACCAGTTTCTTGTCAAGAAACTTGTTCCTTGCCAAGAAACCCGTTTTTTGACCAAGAAACCTGTTTCTTGACCAACAAATGTTCAAGAAACTATTTATTGAACAAGAAAATGTGTCGCCATCCGCCGAATAAACCAATGGGCTAAGGAAATCTCGCCGGAGGGCCAACGGGTTTCTTGAGCAACAAACGAGTTTCTTGATAAGAAACCGGTTTCTTGAGCAAGAAACGGGTTTCTTGGCAAGAAATGGGTTTCTCGAGCAAATAATAGGTTTCTTGCTTTAGAAACGGGTTTCTTGTTGAAGAAACTT